CCATCGATCCATGGGGGACGACATGCTGCCCATCCACAGAGCGTAAGGGGGATAAAATCAGTACAGAATCGCTCAATATTCCCACGAATCACTCTCCAGCGTTCTTCTACCTCGGCCGAGCTTCTCGGTTCCCAGGATAGGTTCCTAGCGCTCTGTCTCATTTCATCGTAGTCAGTCTTCCAGCATGCCGGTTTGTAGCATCTACGCGTTGACAACGATCCTGTTATGTGGAGTGCTGCGAAGACAGTAGCATGATCACTGGTGCCTAGGGGTGCGGAGACCAGAGCATCAGATACTTTTGTATGCCCATTTGTGAATATCAAGTCCAGACAGGAAGCCATACCCGAGTCGGCTATCCGCGTAAGCTGGGCAACATGTTGTACAAGATGGGTTTCGTTTGTCATTTCTAACAACGCGTTCTCCGTTTCAGAGGCAGGACCTTCGATGTTCAGATGAGCCCAGTTGATATGTGGGCAATTAAAGTCACCGACAATACAGACCCGCGACCTTCTGGCATACTTTTTGACTGTAGTCAACCAGTTTATACCGTCGGCTTGAGGACTTCGGTATATAACACCTATGGTTGTGGTTGCACCAGTAGCAGCCTTGACCGACACCCAGAATTGTTCAACCCAGTTTTCATCCGTGCGTGTGCGTTCTAACTTAATTCTAGGTTCACTTATCTCAGCTTAAAAGGGAAAAAATCCAAAAAATAGTATATATTAATATTTAATTTATTACAATTTTCAAGTATATACATGCATTAATGACTGATCTTGCTTATCTGCCTTTCTGTGTCATTCGTGAAATTTAGATATCCAGAATAATACATATGCCTTGAGCATTGGCCCTAGGTAGCCCCACCTGGCCCAGTCTCGGGCCCCACCTGTGCTGGGGCCATGTGTTTACAGGGATTATACACAATTGATAAAAAGGAATGGAATAATGCCACCACAAAAACAGTGTCGGCGTATGCAACAAAAGTTAATCTTAATTGATCTTCTCATATATGATTGAGTGTATTTAGTGATCAATGCCAAAGAGGTGAATTAACATATGGATGAGCTGGTGCACAGAAAGATGCCGACAGCGACCATAGCAGGAGACGAAGATATATACAGTAGATTTTTAGTTCATTCATGCATCGGCCAAAATATTAAAACGGGCACTATAAACAGAAAGATTGGCCTTTTAAACATTATTAAGGAACGTCTTATATAAGAATGTGTGAAAGTAGGGGCAGGGATATGCAGAAATCCTTGGTTGGTCTAGGTATATCAGTTTGGTTTTCTCGCTGTAGGGAGAGGTCGTCCGTTATTGTTGCGCTCATTTCCCCGGTGCCAATGAATCGAGTTTTGAGACTTTCTAAACTGCTTTCTACAGGTACCTGAAAACTGCTATTCATTCTTTTAGGAATCTTACAACAAAATGTAATATCCAAAGTTTGTGTTTCGTCTCACCGGCTTTATAGTGATTCTGCTGTAAAGAGTATGTGCGGTTTCTAATTTATTTGAAGCTGACATTAATGTCGATCCCAAGGTAGAAAAGTTGTCGAAATTTGGGCTCTATGTCGCGGAGTGCCTTCCGAAATATGTTCAGAAGGTTGAACTTGGCCATGTAAAGGAGCTGGACATTCTTATTCACCCGGACGGAATTATCCCTGTTATATCGTTCTTACGAAACAATCAAAACGCACAATTTTCACAGCTTATAGATATTACTGCTATTGATGTACCATCTCGACCCTTCCGATTTGAGGTATGCCGACGTCGCTTTAATATTTCAGGTTATATATAACCTTCTTTCCCTGCGGTACAACTCTAGAGCACGCGTCCGGACATACACAGACGAACTCACACCAATAAGTTCCATTTGCGGCGTCTACCAAGCTGCCAACTGGTTTGAACGAGAAGTATGGGATATGTATGGCGTGTTTTTCTCCGATCATCCAGACCTGCGTCGGATTTTGACGGATTATGGCTTCCAGGGCCACCCTCAACGTAAGGATTTCCCTCTGTCTGGATTCACTGAGGTGAGTGTCTAGATCACGCCTTTAGTAGTTTTACAGCTCGCTCCAGAATAAGTCTGATTTAGGTCGATTTTGCTCAATAATCAGTGGCTTTCACCGCTTCACCAACGTGTACATGGTTTTTGTTGGGTCTCATCTCCAGTAATTGTGTACCCCTCAAATATGCCAACACCTCTTGCGGTCCTTGATTAAGCTGACCTTGTTATTCTTCCGCGAACCATCTGTCCACACCGGAGTTTTTAATAACGGTTTCAGTGGGCTTGGACCTATGTCCTCGAGCGACCGAATCGGAGTACTGTTGGGATCTAAAGGAGCTGAGTCCTAATTCGGGCTCTTATTCCAGAGTTTATTCGGCTGTACTCGCAGGTATGGATCATCGCAA